ATTATCTCTGTCGACTTTTTGCCGTCTTTTTTTATTCATCTTTCAAATATATATAAGATTTTATCCACCGTTTCTTAGTTTTATTACAAGTTTGTAGATGTTCAACAAATTATGCCCAGTTTAGAATTTACCAAAATGTTTTGTTAACAGCCAATTTCACGAAAGCAATTTAGGTGAAAAATAATTTTAATTTTTTGAATCTTATATGGAATTTGACAGAAAATAAAAAATCATTTTCCATTTAAATTGCTGGTGCAATCGGCTGTAATTTTTCAAAATATTTTTCTTTGTTGTAATTTTTTTAATTTATTTTTTGCTCCATATATCGTGATACGGTCTAATATTCATATCCTCCGTTTGTCCGTTTGTCAGCATTGTCAACAATCTCGCATCAACGCTGTGGATCATCGAAGCGTAAGCAGTCAGTTAGCCAAGCAACGCTATCGGCAAATATTTCTGATTTCTTTGTCATTGTTTTCATTTTAACCATAATTTGATATGAACGTAGATTACTTGGAACTACTACCGCATTATAGTTGAACAACTTGCAAAGCTACATATTTCCATACATACACACATATTTAGCTACTTGCGTATGACTGGCATTATGGCACCTTGGTTCAGTTAAAAATTAAAAAGAACTACAGAAAATGTGTTACATGTAGCTTAGAGTGAAAAGTTGCTAGCTCCCTTTTTAAAAATTTTAAAGGGCAGGAAAAAACTTCTAAGCGCCATTTTCTGCAGGCATTTCGCAAAAATTTCAAAACAATATTTTGCCTGTTCAATGACAAGCAAAACTCCACATGAATCAGAGCAATTCGATTTTTATTAAAAGATTTCGTACTAAATATTTTGGCATCAACGGATTTTCGGTGCTGCTTCTGGACTAAGCAAATTTTCCTCTCATTGAATATAAACGAGATTATATAAAACAAGTACATTCTTTTCTAAATAATTTTACTTAAAAGTTTATAAGTAAAACTCTTAACTCGTACTGCATATGTGTGTGTGTGTGTGTGTGTATGTGTTTAACTTTACAAATTTCGCAGAGTTTGTTCTTCTGCGTATTTTATGCAAATCTAAGATGAAAAGTAAAATCTCTATTGCTTCGGTTAAGGTTCCGTAGCTGCGGGCGCACGATTTAAAATTGTCACATGGAGTTTTGCAGATATCAAAGTCGTCTTTTACTGTGTTATAAAACAAGAAAGTATTATGATAATCTTGATGCCAATTTAATTGGAACTATTTGAAACGCCATAAAAGCACACAAGCACAGCCACGGTGAGCGTAGTACGCATATTTGTATGTATATATACAGTTACTCACAAAAGTATACGTTATTTAGTTTTTGTTTTCACGATATTCCAAATGTCTTCCACTTTAAATCTTTTTCGTTAATTTTTATTTAAAATTGAGCTAATTCTATAACATAAACCGTGTAAAATTTCTTAAATGCCAGGAACTGCATCTTTATTTTTAAACTAATTACTCTTGCGAAACCGGAATACCTATATGAAAAACTCATATTTACTAAATGCTCTCGCTCTTTAACTCTAATTGTGCCCAAGTTCAATTACTTATGCTCATCCCGACTGTTTTTCGTTAACGCTGTTAGACTTTGGAACTCCCTTCCTCAGTCGCTAAGGAGGTTATTGTCTAGAGGCAGCTTCAAGAAACATATACATCAGTATTTCTCTAATTAAAATTTCTTGAAAACATGGTTATCGACTCTCGCAATCTAGATTATGTTTATTCATGTTTATCTTTCTTTTTTTCTTATAATTTCTTAATGTTTTATAATTACTTAATGCTTTAAATTATTAAATATTTTATCTGTGTATATTTTTTTATTGTTAAGGTATTTAATTGCTTATATTTACATCGTTGTGCAAGAAAAGATTATATCTTAATGTACTAATTATCATTAAATTAAATAAATACAAATACAAATACAAATATTTAAAGCCACAATTGGTACAGTCAATAGCGCATATTAGAGATGGGCGCGGGATATCGGGACCCGCGGGACTCCTGGTACTGATTTCAAATTGGCCGGGATGGGCGTTATCGGAAAGGTCTGTGAAATTTTGCGGGCGGGACGGGACCAAAATACTTTCCCGACACTCCCGATAAAACCGCAACCTCAGAAAATTTGGAAAACCTTCCTTAAAAACGATGTGTGAAATATGCACTTTTTTTATGTTTTATTGGGACGAAAACGAACAGCAAAGCAAAACAAAATAATCGGAAGATGCCAGATCTTTCATTATTTTTTTTGTTATTTAAAATTAATTTGAAAGGCATGTGAATTTTTCCTAGTTATAGATTACGGGACCCACGGGACCCGCGGTACAATTATGAAAAACGTCGGGATGGGCGGGTTCGGGTCCTAAAAATTGAATTTCGGGAAGGGCGGGATCGTGACCAAATATTTAGTCCCGTGCCTATCTCTAGTACATACCAGTAGTATTTTCTTCCATTGTCCGCGTTGCACTTTACGTCGACAGATA